TGTGAATGGTACGCGACTTGATACCATTGGTAACGTGAATGGTACGCTACTTGATACCCTTGGTTACGTTGATGGTAAGCTACTTGATCCCATTGGTAACGTGAACGGTACGCTACTTGATACCATTGGTTACGTTGATGGCAAGCTACTTGATACCATTGGTAACGTGAACGGTACGCTACTTGATACCATTGGGTAACGTGAACGGTACGCTACTTGATGCCATTGGTAACGTGAATGGTACGTAACTTGATACCATTGGTAACGTGAATGGTAAGCTACTTGATACCATTGGTAACGTGAACGGTACGCTACTTGATACGATTGGTTATGTGAATGGTACGCGACTTGATGCCATTGGTAACGTGAACGGTACGCTACTTGATACCATTGGTTATGTGAACGGTACGCTACTTGATGCCATTGGTAACGTGAATGGTACGTAACTTGATACCATTGGTAACGTGAATGGTAAGCTACTTGATACCATTGGTAACGTGAACGGTACGTTACTTGATACCATTGGTAACGTGAATGGTACGCTACTTGATGTCATTGGTTACGTTGATGGTAAGCTACTTGATACCATTGGTAACGTAAACAGTACGCTACTTGATACAATTGGTTATGTGAATGGTACGCGACTTGATACCATTGGTTACGTGAAAGGTACGTAACTTGATACCATTTGTAACGTGAATGGTAAGTAACTTGATACCATTGGTAACGTGAATGGTACGTTACTTGATACATTGGTTACGTTGATGGTAAGCTACTTGATACCATTGGTAACGTGAACGGTACGTTACTTGATACCATTGGTAACGTGAACGGTACGCTACTTGATACCATTGGTAACGTGAACGGTACGTTACTTGATGCCATTGGTAACGTTAATGGTACGTAACTTGATGCCATTTATAACGTGAACGGTACGCTACTTGATCCCATTGGTAACGTGAACGGTACGCTACTTGATGCCATTGGTAACGTTAATGGTACGTAACTTGATACCATTTGTAACGTGAACGGTAAGTAACTTGATACCATTGGTAAAGTGAATGGTACGTAACTTGATCCCATTTGTAACGTGAATGGTAAGTAACTTGATACCATTGGTAACGTGAATGGTACGTTACTTGATACCATTGTTTACGTTGATGGTAAGCTACTTGATACAATTGGTAACGTGAACGGTACGCTACTTGATACAATTGGTTATGTGAATGGTACGTTACTTGATACCATTGGTTACGTGAATGGTACGTTACTTGATACCATTGGTAACGTGAATGGTACGTAACTTGATGCCATTTATAACGTGAACGGTACGCTACTTGATGCCATTGGTAACGTGAATGGTACGTAACTTGATGCAATTGGTAACGTGAACGGTACGTTACTTGATGCCATTGGTAACGTGAATGGTACGCTACTTGATACTATTGGTAACGTGAATGGGAGATGAGAGAGAGTCAGAATCTGTTTGAATTTACGATATATTCAACAACATGGGCAAATAATGTTTTGTTCTCAATTTCGTTTAGAGTTTCTAATCAACATAAAATTATTTTGACAAGAACATTTGGCATGAGCTCTACAATAAGGTTGGAATTGATATTTGGAGCGAATATATGACAAACAGCACGGAGCATATTGGAACGAATTCGGTTATATTTTGGACAAAGTAAAAATAAATGAATTTCATCTTCGGAGGAGTTCGCGCAGAAGTCACAGAATTTGTTATTAGTTAAATTGTAAGAGTATCTATGTTTGTTTAAAGCACTTAGTCCCATTCTTATTCTAGAGTGATTGATTTTCCTTTCCCATGTCCATATGCATATAAAGAGTTTGTTTGTGGAGTGGATAGATTTGACAGTACTAGAGAGAAAGACGTTAGTGAAGAGCAATTTTTCAATGCTTCAGGTAGGTTGTTCCAGTCTCGTATTGATTTTGGAAAGAAGGATTGGTGATAGAAAGATTTTCTTGAGAGGATAGAAAGAATAGTATTACTTGATGTCATTGGTAACGTGAATGGTACGTTACTTGATGCCATTGGTAACGTGAATGGTACGCTACTTGATGCCATTGGTAACGTGAATGGTACGTTACTTGATGTCATTGGTAACGTGAACGGTACGCTACTTATGAGTTATGTAAAAAAGGTTATTATCACTAATAGACAATGACGCAATACATTTATGGGATACGCCATGGTATTTTTAACCATAGTGAAGGAACACATGTATGTGTACGGTCCCAGTATCTAAATTGAAAAATTTAACTTAAAACCCAATAACATTTTCATAAACAATGCTCGGTAGAGCAACCTGTGGGAGATCGTGCGTGTCAAGCCAATCGTTTGCACAAATAAATACATCTACAATGGTTGTCATGGGTATGTTAGCGCTGATAGTACAAGGGCCATGCTATCTAGCTAATTAGCAATAATGTGGTGTGTCCAATTCAGTAGAAAGGTCTAATTGATCTACATGAGTGATTAAGAAATCTCTATGTGAGTGTTCCACCTTTTGTCGTTGTGTTATAACTGTTGGTCATTTCAATCACTTAATTTCCCATACCACTCCTCAACACTGTGACACGGGGATGACCATCGCCGTGATTAAGCCAGTATAAATAACATATTGACACTGACGAACAGAACAAATGAGTTTATATCCCTAACATCCCCCGTCATACTGGTTACTTAATCATTCCACCACATAAAAACGTCAATACTCTTTTCATGCAAATCACTAATAGGACTTCGAACCGTTGTGTCCTTTATATTGCTGAGCTGTAAAACGCGACCTCATCGTCAACGAGTCGATCTGTGTTTTACTGTATTAAATGACGGATGATCTGTACCGGATATTTAAACTTCACCACAAATGGCTGATGATCTGAACAATTCTATACTGATTATTCAAACTACACAACGAATGGCTGGTTGTCTGAACAATTCTGTACTGAACCTTCTTTCTTCAAAACAAATGGCTGCTTGTTTGAACAAATCTGTACCGAATAGTTCAACTTCACCACAACTGGCTGCATGTCTGAACAATTCTGTACCGAATAGTTAAACTTCACCACAAACGGCGGGATGTCTGAACAATTCTGTACAGAATATTTAAACTTCTATACAAATGGCTATATGTCTGAACAATTCATAAAAAGACAAAAAAGATTACAACATCTACACACAAGGACAAAATATATTACAACATCTACACACAAGGACAAAATATACCATAGAGTCAACACACAAGGACAAAATATACCACAACGTCAACACACAAGGACAAAAAAAACCACAGCGTCAACAAAGAGAGACAAAATATCTAACGTTATCAACACAATCATTAAATATATTAAGGCATCAGCTCATTGGGATACAATTAATCACAGCGTCAACACAGAGAGACAAAATATCTAACGTTATCAACACAATCATTAAATATATTAACGCATCAGCTCATTAGGATACAATTAATCACAGCGTTAACACAGAGAGACAAAATATTTAACGTAATCATCACAATCATTAAATATACTAACGCATCAACTCATTAGGATACAATTAATCACCGCGTCAACACAGAGAGACAAAATATCTAACGTTATAAACACAATCATTAAATATATTAACGCATCAGCTCATTAGGATACAATTAATCACAGCGTCAACACAGAGAGACAAAATATATAACGTTATCAACACAATCATTAAATATATTAACGCATCAGCTCATTGGGATACAATTAATCACAGACTCAACACAGAGAGACAAAATATCTAACGTTATCAACACAATCATTAAATATATTAACGCATCAGCTCATTAGGATACAATTAATCACAGCGTTAACACAGAAAGACAAAATATTTAACGTAATCATCACAATCATTAAATATACTAACACATCAACTCATTAGGATACAATTAATCACAGCGTCAACACTGAGGGACAAAATATCTAACGTAACCATCACAATCATTAAATATACTAACGAATCAACTCATTAGGATACAATTAATCACAGCGTCAACACAGAGGGACAAAATATCTAACGTAATCATCACAATCATTAAATATACTAACGAATCAACTCATTAGGATACGCTTACCCCCAGCGTCCACACAGAGGGACAAACTATTGTAATTATCACAATCATTAAATATATTAACGCATCAGCTCATTGGGATACAATTAATCACAGCGTTAACACAGACAGACAAAATATTTAACGTAATCATCACAATCATTAACTATACTACCGCATCAACTCATTAGGATAAAATTAATCACAGCGTTAACACAGACAGACAAAATATTTAACGTAATCATCACAATCATTAAATATACTAACGCATCAACTCATTAGGATACACTTAACCCCAGCGTCCACACAGAGGGACAAACTATTGTAATTATCACAATCATTAAATATACTAACGCATCAAGGCAGGGGGTAAAATAAACCTCAGCTTGTGAATAGAAGAGACATACAATTGTAGTTTATAGATATCAGGGACCCATACAAAACTCGGAGGCGACTCCAGCTTCGCTCAGAAGGAAACACATTTCCGGCACCACATATGCTCACCGTGTTGGAGTTTTACGTCAAGTGTAGATGTGGATAAGTCATAGAACAAATGTCCCCTTGTTACAGCCAAACAACGCTGGTTGCAGTTTTACACTGCAAAACAATATATCTTTGTTCTATTTGATTCGGCAATCAGCTACTTTACATTTGTAAACTACTGTTAAAACAGAAGGGAAAGTGCATAAAACCCTGATTTTTTTATTTGCAAAATTATAGGATTGGTGGTTATTGGAGATTAATTAGTAGCGTGTGTAATTTTATGAACTGTGCCACTATTGAAAAGAAATTTCTGTGAGTATTGAAGCCTCTTATACATTCCGTACACCCTCCGAGAACGTGCCTGCATCAATAACTACACTAGCACCCCCTATCGGACAATGACGGGGCTACACTGCTAATGAGCGGCACCAGGCGGTAGCGTGGGTATGCGCTGGGGTATATAAGATATCATTAGATGACGCGAGTGACAAGGATACTTTGGTGCACAGTACAAGAGGACATGCTATAACCAGATCGAAATACCATCAGCCACTCACCACCGAAAAAGTAAGTTGAAAATCAAATATTGTAACTTTGGGATAATATTTGTTTTGCATCACATTCGTTTCATAGGGACGACGAGGGAGAAATGTATCTTTAAGTAACCCAATGGTTACAGGTCACAAGAATCAGTAGGACACATCAATATACTTTGCAGTTTTGTTTTTCATGTTAGATAAAATCTTATAATCAGCATAATCAAACGACTAGGGTGTTAACGGTCATTTTTGGCCTAATCTGAGATCGTGAATTAGTTGTTATATTCGTAATCTGGAGTAAACGAAGTATGCAAATAAGAAATTTCAAATTCATTTCACAATTGGTTTAGGAGATATGGCATTACAAAGAGAGACAGAAATCCGCATTTTCACGAGAAATTGCGTGAATATCATCTGTTATGCGCTATTTGGTCGAAAATAGGCCATTTTGAAGGAAATTAACTTAACACTGCAATTTTTGAAAGCCCCCACATGAAACAAACATCGTCATACCAGTGTTCATTCGCAGAAAGGAATTTTTGTTTGTCACATGCGGAGACTTTCATTTCTGCATGCTTACTGTCAAAAACACAATATTTTGGCTATTTCTGCATAGCAACGAAATTTCATTGCTATGGTAAGGCTCTACACATGCGCATTGGAAAACATCTGCCCAATGAAAATAGTCCAAATTAACCAATATAATGTTTATAACAGAAATTGGTAATTAAATTCAAGTCCTTTAGTTCCATAGACAGTCCAGTAGTTAGTTGATATACTTCACATTGCCAGTTCAAATCTCATCAAATACACCAAATTACTAACTGCCAAACGGTACTTAATACGTCAATAGGTCAGTGCTCCTGTCGCCTCCGTTAGGAAATTTGACCTTGCCGAGTCTGTCATCTGTCATAATGTTTCTAAATCAAGTGATATTGACGAACATTTGACGGCGAAAGCAAAACAATCATGATTATAGTAGATCGAAAATGGAGCCATTAGCAAGACTTGTCAATCTGAAACACTATTTGTAGAAACAATAATTATTTTAATCAAATGACACGACTGTAATGACGTCACACGGCGCGATGATACATTGACAAGCAGTACGCAGACTCAGTATACCATTGTGTATTACAACCTTTCGTCAGTACATGAAGCCTTGGTCTTCCAGCATCGTTTTGACAATTGATCTGGCGGCGTATGTTCAAGTGTGTACTAAGTATTACCATGTAACTGAACATTTATCATACAATAAACACGGATATATTACCGGACAATATATTGACTTGTTTAAACAGACAATCGGCCTTCCTAATAATGTCTAATCCAATCAGTAAGCCTGTTGCTACACTACAATGTCACATTACTGTAGCTTAATTAACAGGAGAGCGCTTCAGCAAAACTCACGTCTTTCCACTTATTCGCGAACACAGCCAATATTAGGAATATTGTACGAAGTGTGAACTTCCTACCATTTTTACCTGGTGGGCGAATCCTAGACGTTACCTTCGTTAGGGACAGGTAAACAGACCTAACCGACCTTAGGGGAACCAGCTCACTCGCGGTGCATTTGGTTCAGCATTACAACTTACTAGTGTGAGAGAGAAAGGATCCATCAATACTGTCTGATTCAGACATAGAAATATTAACTCTCGAGAATTGAACGTTTAGCGCTCGACAAATCCTCTTGTAATACTTCCAAAAAAACCAAACAGTGATTATCTGTAATTATCTGTGATTATCTGCAAAATTTCATCAGCGAACTATCCCCAACTTGGTGAAGATTAACTCCACTCTCGCTGTCAAAGATCGTTTACTAGACCCTTATATGTACACGTTGAAGGGGGCCGATTATATAAGATGAAGATATGTCCTTTTAGAAAAGAGAGAAATGAAGAATATGGGGAGTTTAAAGATCGCCATCAGGATCTCTTTGCGAAATCTGTTGATTACTTGTGGAATGAGACTGTTGATGATTTGTGTGAGGTTCCTTTGTGTGGTCACTGGTTCTGTGGTCACTGGTTCTGTGGTCACTCTGTGGTCACTGGTTCTGTGATCACTGGTGCTGTGGTCACTCTGTGGTCACTGGTTCTGTGGTCACTGGTGCTGTGGTCACTTTGTGGTCAGTGGTTCTGTGGTCACTTCTACGGTTCTCACTGGAAAGCATGACCTTGATTTGATTAGACATAGATAAGCATGCGTGCGTCGCATGTGTCTAAAAGTGAAAAGTGGTTGTTGCCAACGTCATAACAACTTAATATTAAAAAAACAACTGCCGTTTTTATCGACATTGACGTCAAATTAAATTATCAGGTAATATAGAAATAGATACAACACTGCTTGAAGCTGTCCAAACATAGTAACAAACAGTGGTACAAGCATATCCATAGACATTAGAACACAAACAAACACATATAAACAAGTTGGTATTATCAAATTAGGGGAAACAACTATTAATACCCATTTTTATTATAATTGAATCTAATGGTTTAAATTCTAACCTTTTATTTTGATACCGAAAAGGCATATAAAATATATATATATATATGATAAAAAGGGATTAAATGTCCATGTGAAGGAAGTAAATATAGAAAAAATAAGATTAACGACCGACTCAAAAACTAGCTGCTTTCACCCTTCACAGGGCTCTTCAGGTTAAACCTTAAATATATATATATATACATACATATTATGAAGAGAAAAGAAACATAATTTGTTGATGGAGCTGCATGTATAAACATTTGATGGGATTAAATTACCGCACCCAACAGATACAGGCCAAAAAGTCCATTGTATCACACAAGGCCATCCACTGATGAGTTTGGAAATTCGATCCCCCCAAATAGTTTAATTTATGAATATTAAACACAGGTTAGATATATAATTAAAATGTTGTAAAGCTTTATATTCTTATTTATGTAGTTGTTTCCCAATATTTTTTAATAAAATAGTATAACTGGTCTTCAGTTGTTCTTGTGTTTAAATTTGGAATAGGTGTTATTAACTTTTTTGAACTGATAGACGGAACGAATATTTTGAAGGTATGAAGCGATATTATTTATTTCATTAAAAAAATGAAGAGAAAAGAAACATAATTTGTTGATGGAGCTGCATGTATAAACATTTGATGGGATTAAATTACCGCACCCAACAGATACAGGCCAAAATGTCCATTGTATCACACAAGGCCATCCACTGATGAGTTTGGAAATTCGATCCCACCAAATAGTTTAATTTATGGATATTAAACACAGGTTAGATATATAATTAAAATGCTGTAAAGCTTTATATTCTTATTTATGTAGTTGTTTCCCAATATTTTTTAATAAAATAGTATAACTGGTCTTCAGTTGTTCTTGTGTTTGAATTTGGAATAGGTGTTATTAACTTTTTTGAACTGATAGGCGGAACGAATATTTTGAAGGTATGAAGCGATATTATTTATTTCATTAAACATGGTTGGAAAAAAGCTATTAGAATAGTTAACAGTTCGACAAAGAGGAGGATCAAATATTCTAACTGATCTAAGGGGATATATAGCTAGTGTAGGATCATGAAAATGTAACTTTCATCGTAACCAACATTAACAACTATAGCTTAGGGATAGTGACGTGAATAAATAACAGGGGAAGTTAGAAATGAGTTGGGGAAAATCAGTACATTGTGGTCAAGACAAATCCTTCTGTCGCGGCATCGTCAATACACTTTATGGTCGATTTTCAGACTATTTCAAGAAAGGTGTATATATGCATATAAGTAAGATCGTTCATAAACAAGCTGCATTATAATGCTAATATAAAATATTCTATATGATAATCATGTGGATGTTTTTTCCCTACGCAGACAGTCGTTGTGAAAGACTGTACATATTCCATACGCTGTTACTGATCAATTGTTCGTCAAATCCCGTGCCTTAATATGCCGTTCTCCTGTTCATTCTTTTCCTCCTGGTATATCCGATTCCACTAGACTGTTTGCATCGGGAAAGACCATCCACATGACTTATTTTACATATGATATATGTTATTATAAGACTATAAAAGTCATTGATTAAGAATCTTATTTAAAGACGTCATAAGATAATAAATCAGAAATCAATTGATTTATTATTATGTTAGCAACTCAGCTATTTCTTTTTACATATGATCGCACAAAACACTTCCATGTTTGCATCCCCACACATACCGTAAATACAAACATACATACATACACACATACGTACATAAGTACGTACCAACCGACTTACATACATACACATTATATTTACTTGCGCACATGCGTGTGCATGCATAGTTATGCGACCACGTACTGAAAGCATGCACTCCTACACACACACGCTCACACACGCATGCATGCATACATACATGCATGCATACATGCATGCGTGCGTACATACATACATGCATGTGTACACACATACATGCATGCGTACATACATACATAGATGCGTACACACATACATTCATGCGTACATACATACATAGATGCATGCGTACATACATACATAGATGCATGCATACATACATACATAGATGCATGCATACATACATAGATGCATGCGTACATCTATAGATGCATACATACATACATTGTTTGCGTACACACATACATACACACATTGTTTGCGTACACACATACATACATGCATTGTTTGAGCTACTCAGAATCCAAAACTATGTGAAACAGCATGTATACATTAATAACAATATCATCATAAGTTTCTATCACCCTAATGTTGTTGGAATCGCTTTGACTTGAGGATGTTATCCTGAACAGCGAGGAAAATTAGTTTGTTTTCTTCTAAAGATAACGATTCATCGCCATATAATAATAATCTGACAGTTATTTGATACTGAAGGGTTTCAATGTGTAGTTGTCAATGTATAAGGTACAATCTAGCAGGTAATGAGAAGTGTGTTCGATGCTACTGCATGCGCATAGAGGGGATCTAACAATGTTTGTTCATTAAAGGAGCTGCTTGACATGCGTAGTCTAGCACGTTAACTGGATAGAGTTCCAGCTAGGGCAAGAAAAATCTTTCATTCAGATTAGAATGACATCAGAATGTCTTGTACTATTATGGCTATGTATTCCACAGACTGATTGTGGTACAAGACGGTTGAGGTATTCGGGGTATTTTATTGGAACATTTTGTGGAAAACAATTAGTTTGACGCTGTTTGGTGTGCTTCAATTGTGAACCATTTTCCTTTTTTATTTTTATGTTAACTGTATGGCATGTCAGTACAAATGTGAATACTGATATGAAAATCTCGAAATTTGAAAAACTTCCTCTGGAACGAAAAATTGTATTGATCATTAATACATCAGAAAACAATAGGCGAAATAGACAAACTAATAATATTAGCAAACATGGTTAGAATGACTTAAACGTGGGCTATTTGAACAACGAAGGGTAATACCTTAGTGCTTACCGCCAAACAGGTTCAAAGGAGAAGTGTAGCACATTTCCACTAATTATAATGGAGTCCTTACATAATACAGTTCGTGTATAGGCTTAGCGGTTAAGTTTTGTATTAACATCTGTGAGTTAAATGTATTGCATAGATAGCCACGTTGTAATACACGTATATCTAGCGATATTAAGTGAAAAGTTCCGTTATCAAAAAGATTGTAGATAAAAATACAGTTTATTGAAAAAAGTCGGCCTTAATGATCGGCCTACAGAGAAAAGTGTAAAATATTTCTTTTAAATATTTTCTAAAATATCACAGGCCAAAACAAAGTTGGTCAAAAAGTGTAAAACAACCTGGTGGTGATTCCTTAGACTGGCTTCAGGCCCTTAATTTTTTATGAAAAAATTCTCAACTACATTTTACTACTAGCTTATATTATCTCCCTCTAGTTTAGAATTTAATCAGACATACAAGAGATCAAAAAAGTTTGAGTTACATTTTTGTCTTAATAATTCAATATTCTAAAGACGGGGGCCATTCTAGTGTTTCCTGGACTCTTTGATATTTTTCTTACTTTTCAAAATTGTTTAAACTAAATATTTACCTTTTCTAGGATTATATACAAATACTCATATATTTACTTACAGTTTCCAAAACATAATTTGAAAATTTGACTTAATGTTTGAATGAACTGATAAAGTAATATTCAATTTGATCTAAATGTGTATGACAAAATATCAATACTTATGATAATAAGTGAGAAGTTTATATTTCGAAATGAATGATAGTTTCGTAGAGGTTGATACGTAAGAATTCCTTTATCATCATTTATGTCATAATATACCACTTTGGAATATAGTAATCAACACATCTTTTAAGTTCCTAAAAAGTTTTATGGTACTAAGATGGTAGTTATATGTTTGGAAAGACCAACTAGCGAAGTGGGCGATAAAATTATGTTTATACGGATTCGTGTGATGTTTCATTATCTAACCCAAGCGCTATAGGGTCAGCATCCGTGTTATTAAACATTAATGGGATATACAGAAGATTAGTTATCATGTTTCTATAACTCCTGTTAGTTAGTTTTCAAACTGCATAAAGACAGACGGTATGTGAGGTGCCTACACTGCTAAATAGCATTTTACATTCCAAACCTCTGTCAATATATGGCGTTTTTCGGGTGATATACATTGCTCATTATTTCTTGCAGAGGGGAATGAACTCTCTACCGTACGTAACAGTTTCCATGCTTCTCCTGCTCAGCCACTGCGACCTTGGTCATGCCCAGTGGGCACAGACGTTTGGATGGGGAGGCGCAGGTAACGGTAAAAGGAGTGGAATTACTGACCCGACTACATGCAATATGGACTTACAATTAGTGAAACTCATGTCGACGTTAATACAGGTACGTAAATACAAGAACGTTATACGAGAAAGTAAAAATAGGTTTCCTTAATACGCTCATACAGATATCCCATATGGTCAAGTCGGTATGAAATGTGTCTCATAAGCATATTTCATGAAGCGCATGTCACGCTTTGTTGTAAATATGAATTAAAGCCATGCGACTTATATCGGCATGCCAATACATTCTAAAACAAAAGTATGTCATTAACAAAACTTACTGTACATTAGAATACCAATATTGTCCGAATAGCCCATACATTTGAAACAAATGATAAAATATGTTAATAACATTATGACAAGCGTCATTTTCATCTGAATTGACGTCATAATTAGGATCAAGTGAGAAGGGCCCCCTTGATTTCTTGATTTTCTTCTGCTCAAATAAATAAATTATATAATCCATCAATTTCTTGTCATGACTATTCATGTGCTATTGGTTAAGGTGATCTATAATGTACATAGGCTTTTTGATGTTGGGTACGACTGGTCAAGTAATTCTACATTTGTATAGGGTTTGTAACACTGACTACCATTGACTATCATTATTTTCATATATCCATGGGCTTTGTAACGCTAGATACTATTAGTTAATGGTGTTGTAATGAGAAGTACCAGGTATTTATGTTAATCATATTTAGATGGTGTGACCTGAGTAAATTCTTGTTTATTTTCATATTTGTACAGATAGATACTGTATAACACGTGTTTTTTTTCCTTCGTGGTTTGAAGCTATTTAGATCGTATACAAACTTTCGTGGATATCTTACATTCAAACTCGTTGTATTTATTTTCGTGGTTCAATAGCAACCACGAAAACCACGAATGTTTACACACCACGAGCATTTCATCTTATACAGTATATGATTTATCACACATATGCACACTTTTGATAACTATATACAATATGTGACAACAGTATTCATTTTAGTCCAGTCAATTAACGGTTCAACATCAAATTTATTGCAACATAAGATATATTTTTCACAATTATATGCATCTGTATCATAAAGGACAAAGGTTAAAAATCAACTTTTTTATCCTCTATTTAAAGAATTGCCAGATCAGCTAAAGCCTAATATCATTTGCCAAAAACTGTATCGAAATCAATGTTATGAAAATATTATAAACTAACAATGTGACTGAATAGCATGTATAAGTTCAAGATATTCGCTTAAATAACTTTGTTTTCCCTAAAATATTTTATTAAGTATGACTTCTTCAATTTCGGCTTGCAGAGGTGATTGAGATTTTTTTCCACAATAATTTGGTCAATACATATTGTTCATCAGTATGTTTTGCAATGAATTGGATATTTCCCATTCTTAATGTAAGACAGAAAGTATATATTACACTTCAATGTTAGTGAAATAAATAGTTTTGATTACTTTCTTGGTTCCAAAAACATAACAAAAAACGTGAAAACATTTTCCCCTTAGACGTGTTTTTCTACTATATTCACCTTCTGTTGCATCTAGTCTTATATTTGGGATATATTTTAGTAAAAAGGTTTAAATATTTGGAAATCATGACTTTAATTATACCCTATTTTTAGTAATAAGGATATTTCGATAAAACAGAATACATATATTTGTACTACTGTAGTACAACTATATTACTCAACCGATACTGATTCATGTATAAAAGATAAGGAGTACTCGCGCTCATCACACTGCTTTTTAGCATATAAAAATGGTAATAACCTGTTTATTTTCTGACACAGAATTACTTCCTTTATATTCATGGCAATAGTTTCCCCGGTCGGAAACAAAAACAAACATTTCGCATTTCCAAGGTAACACATATGGTTTTTCGATTTATCATGTTTATCCAACTTTATTAAATTTTCAAATCGTACAAGACGCTCGGTAACAACGTGTCTCTTTTGAAAATGAATAAAGTCGAGTATGATAAACACAACTAACAACCAGGGCTCCTTAGGAAACCCTTAAAGTCACTGTACTGTTCAATAAGTATATATAGAGCGTATAGATTTCTAAACGTACTATTATTTACATTAATGTTATTCATGTGTATTTTAAAAGCTGTAAGTAAGCACGGATGTATTTCACATCCTTTCATAACACCAAAACATGTCTCAATGGAAATAACAGGATATATTAATCTTGTTCTAAACAGTGAGGGATTTGTATACGAAACGCAATAACAGGAAACAAAAACACACATAAACACCAGGAAAGGAACGATCTTAAGAACTCCTAACAACAAAAAATATACCAAATTGTACTTATCTAGAGCAATCGATGTCTGAAGTTTTCTGAACAATATGTAGAATACATTGATAATGGAAATATGTCTTTAAACCGTTTATAACGTTGTAAATTTGTTATTTATGGCTACAACAAACATTTTATACATAAACTAGTATTTTATGTAAACTTGGCTGAATAATTCCCGGCAGATTAAAACACTTGGTTGATTAAATAAGAAGAAATTCGAAAACAGAAAGCACCTGTATCTTTAAGATTAGTCGACACCTTAAACGTAATAACATTTATCAATGACATTAGCATTGCCAACGCAGCTTGATGCATTGTTTTAGTTACAATTACCTACCCTTGTATGTATTTTATATATATTGATAACATTGTTTTAGTTACAATTACCTACCCTTGTAGGTATTATGTAGATGTTGATAACATTGTTTTACTTACAATTACTTACCCTTGTAGGTATTTCATAGATGTTGATTACATTGTTTTACTTACAATTACCTACCCTTGTAGGTATTTCATAGATGTTGATAACATTGTTTTAGTTACAATTACCTACCCTTGTAGGTATTTTATAGATGTTGATAACATTGTTTTACTAACAATTACCTACCCTTGTAGGTATTTCATAGATGTTGATAACATTGTTTATTTGTGTTTAGAATTTTGTTTAGAGTTTTAACGGTAATTGCTTTTATAACAGCGTATTAGTTGATCAAACCTAATTTTAAAAGTTCAAAAGCGTCACCGCACAGGAATGAAATTAGATCTTAAATTCCTTACGAAAAAGCAAACACAGCAAACAACAATGCATCCAAAGAAATAAACTATATTAAAATCCCTTCTAAAGAAAGACAGACAAAAGCGTCCTAATTAATTATTTCTATCTGGCTGTTCATTTTTATTATGTATGTTACCGGGTTACGAACAAAGGTCATGAGATAACGACATCATCATTTCTATATGAGATCAATAAAGTTTTAGTAGTTAAAATGCATTTGTATTATATTAAATTTGAACCACAAAGACGTGGGTACTGTAACTGTCGGTTGTGAGATCGAGTCTCCGATTCTTTTGTTGTCCTTAAGTGGTAAAACGTTAGTTTACGACTCCTAAGATCATCGGTTACCACATGGTTTCTTATGTTTGACGTCAGACATCGTGACAGTCACCACATGTGGTGTACGAACCTCTGTTCGATCGAATACGAGCTCCCTTTTTGTTTTGCTGTCTCCCCTGTCCACCTTTCTTTCTTCTGTTTTGCCTTTGGAAGTAGCTTTAAATCATAGATGTTATCCTCTCTTGTCATTTCCATACACACGTATATATAATTTAAATCAATTCTACGACTAAACGTTCAACTGAAATCAGCACGATAGCAACCCCTTAACATAAGGATGTTGTAAAAAGGCAACGTCTTGCATTAAAACTTCACAATCAGTGTCGGTAAATAACGTCTATTATTTGATATTACTATGCCATATGTATATGAATAGCGTATACAAGTAAGCTGTAAACAGATATTACTATTATGTTGCTTTCATTCACATTTTTGTTACATAATTTTCCAAAATAGGGGGTTGCTAATGAAATGTAATGGTCAAGCAGTGAATAAAAGCAAATGTGTTCTACACTTTTTTCAAAACACGAAAACATGACATTTGTGTCTTATTCATCAATGACAATAAAATGGCTAACGCTGGTGGAGGCGGTAACACTAGAGGTATTGTTTGTAACAGAATTATTTATTTTTGTGAAGTTTTGAGTCGAAAACATGATCGTCTATCTATTTAGGGTTTGAATTGTTATTGCACAAATATTATCCCTAATGACATGATCTTTGTCGATCAAAACAGAAAAAAAACATCTACAGTGTCAACGCACATGAACGAAATTGGACACAAAGAATCCCTATATAGACACCCTACCAAAGGTGAGGAATAATCGTATTCATCACAATTATCAATAGCTTTCTTTGTAATCTATCATTTATGGCACATGTTTACGAAAGAAAGTCATCATGTAACGTTATCACAATTTCTCTATGAGACAAATACAGCTATCATATTGTGTAGATGTTATATACAAACATGTCTCCACTTTGATTATTTATTTGAATTAGTCATTCCTTTTGACATGTTTTGAAGTCTCATCAATTCCTTTTGTTGCCTTCTGTGTTAATTTTCGAGTAGATTTTATACTCATATGCGGTCGTATGACTTTTAATTTTCTATTAATTTGCTCGTTAAAAAATAAAAATGTCGACTTCCGTTTCGTTTTGCTGTCTCCTCATCAGTCCCTCTTATCGTGTTTACTATTGCTTTTGGTCACGTGTTTGATCTCATGTATTGTCGTGTGACATTTGATTTTTTCTATTTTTATTTGATAATTCACAAGTGTGATGCACACACCGCTCCATCTTCTGTTGCGCTGGGTTTCGTCTCCTCTGATGCAGTTAATCTTATATACTTGATATAAAGTTTCGATTTGATGTCGGTGTTGTACTATTATATTTCTATACAGATATGATATTTGGGGTTTAAAACAATTACTTATAAATACATACTTTCCTTTACTAATTCGCCCCTGAAGTTTCATAATGAACTATTCCAACTCTTGAATTGGAATAGTTGAAAAGAGTCTTTAGGCGTGAAAGAGTCAAAGAACGAAACGAATACGATGACCCAAATATCTGTATTTCAGCAATGCTAATAGTGGTGAAGTCTACCTAACTGTGTCCAAGTGTTGAGGTTTACTTAACTGTGTC